ACCCAGATGCTTCTGGGGTTGCGCTGGGTCAGCTACGCACATACTCTTCATCAGCACAAGGAAGTTGAAGATCTCCAGGCTCTTAGAGGTGCCAAGTAGATCAAGCATAAGAAGGTTCGTTGGATGGACTCCACAGAAGGGAGGCAGCCCACCTATGTAAAATGGCTGGGCAGCACCCTTTCATAGCACACGACCAACTGGGCTCTGATCATTAGCTGTCTACCCAAACTCCGACATTTCTCCTTTCATGTTACCTGGGTAAGAGCATAGGGACAGACAAACATCCCTCTATCCAAACATCCCACCTTCAACATGTTCAAAAGCAAATACCTAGAGAAGAGTATAAATAAGGCAGTGTAAGCATGTAGCAATACTTCCCCCAGATAGTTTCCCAGCGTCTAACTAATTACACCTCAGGAACTTTCAGAGCCAAAGGTGAGATCTTTGTCCTAGCTCCCTGTGCTTTTGTCTTCCACAAACTTGTCCAGTCCTCCTCCCATGACTTATACAGTCATGTAAACGTTCTAGCATCCACAACATTCCACAGCAAGGATTTTAACAGCTTAAAAGGAATGGTACTCTGTACAGTGTGCAATCTTTTAGAGCTTGCCACCTGTTAGCTGTCTTTGATGGCCTCTACTTTCTGTACTGGAAGAAATGGTGAACAACCGATCCCTGTCTGTGCCATTCATGATTTCATAGATGTTGGCCTTACCTACCACTTACCTCTCTGTAGGAACCTGGGCAGTGTTTCAATCGATATGCAATCATGTAATTGTGTGATGGAAGGAAGGATATTTATACAGAAATATTCCTTTCTACAGAGATAAACATGCAGAGACAGCCAATAAGACTCTCATGCAATGCCCTGTTTTGACAGATGAGTCTTCTCTCTCCATTTTATTATGTAAGGGCTTCACAATAATACGCCAGGTTCCTCCAGTGTTTCAACACATCTGTATACGGCCTGCGTCTGCAGGTTGGTTGAATGTTCTCCCTCACATCTCTCACCCTGCCTTGCAGACCTAAGTACCAGGAGATGGGCAAACGGCTGCTGGCCCATAGAGTTCCCCTCTGCCAGATAAACAGTGTGACCCTGAAGTATATCCCCAAGAATCGGTTTTGGAGGAAGGATGAGTCATCCATTGTCGGCAAGTTCTGCGTAGCCCTGCTGCCTCTGGACAGCAAGTAAGTCACAGGAATATCTTACAGGGATTCACTGAGCCTATGGATGCAGCCTGTGGTTTGAAACAATGCATTCTCTCTCCCCTTTAGATAAACATATAAAGAGCTCTCTCCCATCCCCTCTGTGTCCCTTTGTAAATAATTTTCTACCCGTGACAGAGAAAAACTTCCAAGCTAATTTTCTAGGAGTTTTCTGTGATTCTTCCCCCAGGGAAAATGTGGAAGGAAAATGGCTGCATCTCACATCACATTGAAGATGCTTAAGTCACAGATGATGGCAAAAGCTTGTACTAACTAGACTTTGTTCCTTTTGTCCTTGCTTGCTCTCTCCAGCTTCCCCCTGTCTACAGCGGGCCTCCATCTGAAACATGACAGACGCACATTTTTCAGGATAAGATAACAGAAGACCAGTAATACATTTCTGCTTCTTATACTGCATCGGTTTACAAAGCACTAAGGCTGAAAACAACCATTTTGGCATTTTATGGGACAGGCATTGTAGAGTATATGCCTTCAGCCACGATTACCTTATCCAGAGCAGAAGCAGCAAAGTCCTTCTCATCCCCAGGGAGATAATGGCCTTCTCCATAATACAGTATTCTTGCCAGGAGTTTTGCAGGCGCAGAGTTCTTGCATGCAAGGAAAAATAGCTGTGTCTATACTGATGCATTAATCTCTGTCCACACTGCTTCTGACTTTATCCTTACACTGGGTCCAGGCTGAAGCAAGCTAGTGGGCAATCCAAAGCAGGGAAACCCAGAAGCAGAAGGGATGCTGTGCTCACATTCAAATTCTGTTCTTATGGGCAGTAAGGAGAGTCAAGCACAAGGCAGTAAAAATATATCCAGTAGGTCCAGATAGGGATAGATATTGGTATGCAAATACCAGGCACGCCTTTGACTATTCCTCACTAGCATGCTTTGCGGAGAAAAGCACTCCCAAATTGAGATGGGGCTTTTGGTCTCTTATGAATGGGACAGCACAGCACATTGCCTTAAAGGTGTTCAAACCCGCACCCCTGGAAGCACTGCAGGTGGAAAGCTGTAGAATTGCACAGGTTCACAACCACACTTTTATCACAAAACTGGGAGCACGCAGAGCAACAAAGGTGCTGCTCGTAGGAGGTGGTGGAGAGGTGAAAGGTACAACCCCACCCCCATCCAGCCCCCCGGCGAATTCATCCCAGCCAGGACGCAGCACCCTGTGCATCTCACCCTCGCACAGCAGCACAAGGCCCATCAGCCGCTTGCTTGCCTCAGCGTTAGGATAGCAACCTCTGCGTGCTAAAGCACAGCCTGACTTCCCTGTGCTCTTCCCACAGCAGGACAGTGTCATGCCTGCCCTGGAACCTCACTCTCCCCAGCAACGCAGACATCTCCTGCGAGCTGCCCGCTGCTTGTGCCTAGCATGGCCTTCACAGCACACCCAAAACTGGAAAGGAGCCCTAAACCTGCTGCTGCTCTGCCCTCACAGATGATACTTTCACCATAGACCTGGATGGGTTTTCTTACTTCCTGCACCAGGGACGGGACATCAAGGAAAAGCAGTGTGCAGCAGATCAGTGAGTACAAGGTTGACTGCTTACAGAAAACACTCTCAGTAAAAGACTCGATTGGGACTTTTATCTGATGGATTCTGTAGCCAGCTCTGAAAGCAAGACGGGCAAGTCACTTAATCTCAAGGTTCAGATCTGTATGAAAGAAGGCGATAATGTCACTCTTCCTACAACGGGTGTATATGGATGATTCGTTTGTGTTTTATCTTAAAGTGTCCTGAGAACTTCATATTAAAGGTGAGAAGTATTATTTTTCCTCATCAAGGGGAAACCGTGTCGTTCAGGTTTGGCATGGGAAGGAGTCATTCTTTGCCAACACTCCAACAGGAAACTCACTAGTCCTATCTACAAGACACTGTCTGAGCGAGACCCTATTGATTTTCGTGTTAGTGCGTCTGCTAAATAATCAGCATGAATCTCCTTCTCATGACAGGTCTGGAGCAGCTCTTCTGGCTGTTGGCTTGTTCTTTTTGAAGCTCATATGAAGTGAAACAGACACCAGGAGCACCACAGTGCTCTGGCATCCAGTTTTGCACTGCTTTGAACAACCGCCCAGAATAGAAGGTAATAGGAGGAGAACGGAGCATCGTAGCTACAGGGCCACCTAACACAAATTAGTCCTAGGAACTTGGCACAGCCCTGCAGACCTGGAAAAGTAGCCAAGGTCTGGAAAGATCTAGTGGAAGGTTACAATATGAGGGACACACACATAGAAACAGCCCTCTCCCATCCACGCCTCTTCCACCACCTTGAGGCAAATTAAAGAGGAGACAAGTCTTACATCACTTCTGCCCACAAACGACATCTTCTGCAGACCATTTTCACAGGTTCCCTGGGCTGGCTTCACTGAGTCATACAGAAGCACACCAGGAACACCATGGTCAGGAGGGAGGGACATGCTAAAGGCATTTCTGCTCTGAGGGAGCCTCAGTCATTTGGCAAAAGCTGTCAATGCTGCTCCACTACACAGTGTCACTGCAGAGTTAGCTCCTGCGTTCAGCTCACATCCAAGCTTCTGGGCCCTACTATGTGGCTGTTTGGAAGGCCAGCTAACAAACACCATCTCCCACATGCACTCAGGAGAGGGTTAGAGCTGGGCTCTGACAACGTGACAAAGATGCAGGTTAGTTCGTGCCGTGACTGAAGAGTTCCCAGGGAGCTGCCTGCTGAAGACATAACCTCATCAGGCACCTATGAAGGGTGGTGTGTAATTCAGCCTACCCCAGTCCACTACTTCAGGGAGGTGTATAAAGCACCACGACAGACAGACGCAGTTTCATTGTGCAGTTTGGTTCCTTAGCAAAGCGACTCCAGCAGCTCTTGTGTTAATTTGCTGGAGATATTTCCTAGTTGTAAAGGCCAATGAGGTCAGGCTGAAGCAAGAATGCAGCAACAGAGCATGGCGACAACCATTAGCAGGGTGCTCCCCAGGCCTGGGGCAGCCCCATTCTCTTGCCCTGGAGTGACAGCAGAGGCGAGCAGTGCGAGGAGGAACGGTGTACACCATAGAACCCACATACCCACCACTTCAGAGGCCTCTCCAGACCTCAGCAAGAGTGCCAGATCCTGTGGGTGCAGATCTTGCCCAGCAAGACATACCAGACCTGTTTCTGGGCCACCAACCAGTCCCGCACGCAGGGTGACTGTGCCCTGTGTGCCTTTGCCAAGGGGCAAAGTGCTTGACATTCCTTGATTCTCCCCTGGATAGCTGCCCTGGAGACTCTGCTACCCTCACCGCCCAGCTTGGTTGCACCAGGCTCTGTGGAACAGAGGATTCCTCCTCTGGGACTGCCATCTCCAATTCCCCGACAGAGGAAGTGGCTGGGGAAGCTCATCAGCCTGTTGCAACTGAACAAGGCCTCCCATCTCCACACTGTTTTCATCTAAGGTACTGCTCCTTTTCCTACTAAAAAGTAGGCTGCTCTCCACAGAGATGTGTTGTAGTCACTCATTTCTTCACTCAGTGTGTTCACCCTGAGGTCATCTCCCACCAAACACAAAAAAAAAAAGGGTTCAGGCTCTGCTTCTTGCCTACACCTGCCCCCAGTCCCAACTCCTCCCCTTTCTTATTGCAAACGAATCAACTCAAACAACCAGCCTTTCACCAGAAGTCAGTAACTTCTTTGAGAAGCGGTGCTTGTCATAAATGTGAAATCCTAACCCCTGGAAAAGGAATTTCTGGTCTTACTACAGAGGATGCCCAGTGAGATGCATGATATCCAATCTCCGTATCATGGTCTCCATTACAAGCCCATTACGAAAGCCATCAGGGAGCTCATTTTCCCCTGTCCTTTCCCCCCGTACCTCGAGATCACCTCAAGCCTTTCGAGCAGTGTTATCTCCTCCTCCAAATCCTCAAACACCAATAGTTTCATCTCTGACTTTAATGGGAATCATTAAATCAAAGGGAACACAGATTCTGCGAGCAGGCTGGTATCGCTTGCAGCGGTATCGGTGTACCTTGGTATCAGAGCTGCCGACACACCTCAGAGAGGCAGGACTAGAAAACAAGCTGGGGAAGCACACTGGGGCAGGCAGCTCTGGTGAACAGCCGTGGGGTGGGAGGTGCTGGAGTGTCACACCGCAGTCTCACGCGTGTGCTTCATGTGCTCCCGAGTGTACACGTCTGCAGGCAGACATCTCAGTGCTTGCTAAAGTGTCTTTCTGGTCAGAAACCTAAGTGAGCTTATGCTCCCTTGGAGGGGCTTCAGGATCAAAACAGCCTGTTGTTCCCTAGAGTTCGGGGGTCTGAGTGGGAGCCAGAGGGGCTCGTCCTTCGCAGAGAGGGTGGGAGGAACTCTGGAGAAGGTTTTCGGAGGCTGCAGAAGGAAAGCAGTGGAGGGGGTAGGAAAATGAGAAGAAGGAGAGAGGTAGAGAGAGAGAAAGAAAGAGAGCACCATTATTATCACAGGAATAATTGCTACTTCTAAACTTTTCAAAGACACAAACCTCACAGAGCCCATGGTTACCTGTCCTTCTCCCCTCCCCTCCTAAATTAGCATGCAAAACTGTGTAATTCTTCAACATGTGATAAATCAGAAAATTGGGTTACACACTCATCCCGAAAGCAAAAACAAACCCCTCCAAAGCACCTTGTGATATCGTTGAAACAAAGCCCACAGCTCCTTTGATTTTACTCTCAAAGCAGGTGTAAAACAATTCCTACTAACTTCGATACCAAACTACAGATCACCAAGCATCCATCCACCCACCCACGCACCTCACCCACCAAACAGACAGCCGGCCCCAAGATGTAACTGTGCAAAACTAAGCAGCAGCAGGTCCACATCTTGCAAGCACTGGATAGCCACGAACTAGAGCAAATGCGATATAAAAGGGGGGAAAAGCAGGTGGCTTTTGCTTGTTCGGATTTTCATGCAAGGAATAAAGCTTAGTTTGCTACAGAGCATTGAGCTATACAGCAGTAGGCTGTTAAAGCAAGTTTTGAACAGAACCTTTGAACCTGCCTCTTTTAAACAGGCAGCCTGTAAGTTACTAAAACATCTCTCCCCCTCAGAGAAAGAATGTGCTCATCAGTAGGGTATCACAGCTTGTCTTGCTTGTAAGCAGACTAGAAACTCTTTCAAGGAACTAGATGATAAGAACAGCAGGCCAATGCATCTCCCAGAAATATTTTGTTCTGCCCGAGCTTCTCAGTACTTTAGGCATTCAAGAATTGCCTCCTACACTGTGGCACAGCAAGGTGGCCGTTGCAGTGACAGCAAATGAGAAGGAATGTGACCCACAGAAGCACGTCTGCACGGGGAATTTAGAGAGCTGGAAGGTGATTACCCAGGTCGGAAGTTGCTGGGGAAGCAGATGAGTGAGAGCACAGACCCGGGGAAAGCCCCAGCGGAGCTCTGATCTCTGAGACCGTAGTATCACTTACTTTGAACAATGACACTGCAAGGAATATCCCTGTTTACTATGGATGTTTTCACTCTCTGTAAGAGAGTAGTTATGAAAGTGCCATGGCAGGTCTGCTCAGATGAGCCGCTGGGCTGTGACAAGGGCCTAGCCAGAAGGGAAAACTGCAGCCCCTCGATATCACTAATTTTTGTGGCTAGGCACTTGAGTCGCTGTGGAATACTGTCTGGATGTGATGAGTGCTGTTCTGCTGCTGGGACACGACGTGACTAGGATACCCAAGTGGTGAGCAGAGTAACAAGGAAGCGCTCGTTCCACCGTTGAGGACACACTAAACAGAGTTTGCGTTTCCTTGTCTACCTACCTCAGAAACTGAAATACCGCACTGGCTGTTGTCTCCAGACTGCCAGACAAGGAAGATCATCCTCCTTTCCCACCCCAAGGACCAGCCTCTGAACCATTTGGGCTTCTATCGCAGGTCTCTATGGCAAGTATCAGCACACCTTGATACTGCCTCATTCACGAGATGTAGAAAGACTAAAGCTTCCAGCTTTCAATATGTTTTATAAGGACTGTGTGAAAAAAATTAATAGCTTTGTGCTGTGTTGCACAAACTTTCCCCAACACACACACACACAAAAAGCTACCATGTTCTCTGCCTCCTTCCTTTTTAACTGCATTTGAAATTCTGAGTTTACTGAGCTTGACCAACTAGAACTCTGCCAGTGACCTGAGAATGGATATCCTTCTGCTGAGAAGACAAAATACAAGCAAAGCATAGACAAAGTGACTTCACCCCATTTACAACACTAACTGCATTCATTTTTTATTGCATGTATTGAACAGAAGTGCCTGACAGTTCGGAGGATGGCCGTCTCGTAAGCGATTCAGTGTTCCTGCCTCTCCAAGTAAGGACGGAAAAAGCTGCAAATTCATATCTCCAGCAGCCTATCAGCAAAACCAGGGACTTCATATTCCTAGGAC